AAATTATTGCAAGTCTTGCAGAAGATTCAGGACCTCATGCAGCCATGAAAAAGGATGTTGGAAAACTGTTAGAATCAAATGGCAAAGCTTGAATGTAACAGAATTAGACCAGTTAATAACCAGAAAAGAGAAAATCAATAAGAATGTTATAGGCACTTCAATAAAGAATGGTTTCAGGATGAATAAACTGCTACATATTTGCACAATGGGAGTGTTAAACAGGTGTCAAAAGGAACAACTGTAGCAACATACAACAATATGGTACACTCTTAACAATGTAATATAAAGTGAAAAAAGTACTAAAGACATACAGTTAAAAACAATCCTCTCTCTCTCTCTCTATATATATATATACACACACTACACACACATATTTTTAGGACTTTATATAGACACAAGAAAACCATAAAACTGTATGAAAAGCCAAGTGAAGGATAATGAGCTCAGAATTCTGGATGATGATCACCTTGTCCAGGGGAGGAAGTAAAATACATTGGGGGTACCACACAGCCAGATGCAAATTGCTGACCAGACCCTAATTTTATTTTGGATAGGGGATTTGAAGGTACCTATATATTATTTAAAATAACTAATATTTAAAAAGTAAACAAAAGAGAGCCAAGCATGGATCAATGAGGGTATGTCATGAACCAGGGATTATGATCAATCTAATTGTATGCATATAAAGTAGAATTAAAAATACTAAAAAAAAACGCCCAAAAACCAAGGATAGTAACATTTACCTCACAAAATTGCTGTGAAGATTAAATGAGTTAACATATTTAAAACATTCAGAACAGTTCCTGGCACATAGTAAGCACTTACACAATATAATTATGTAAGTATTTTTGTTATCATTATTCTTACTTTATGCCAAGGAGTAGCTACTATTTATTATGCACATAAAACTACTACTTATTAAGCTGTGTTGTAGCAGACAACATTAGCTTCCTTCCCAATACCTATTTCCACCTTCTTTGCTACCAGAAGTCTGCTTTTTCTCAGGATGGCAATGAGCCCAGACCCAGGCAAAATATGTGCTTTTCCAGGTTTTTGCTTGTATCCAGGGTGTTCATGGCACACAGTTCTAGCAACTGACACATAAGCAGAAACCTGCTGGGAGATCTAGGAAGACTTTTGCCTTTCCTGATAAGAGAAGATGATGTGGCTGGCACCATTCTCACTTCTTCCTTTTTCTTGCCTTGAACGTGGTGTGATGCCTGGAGCCTCAGCAGCTATTTTGTTACTGAAGCAACAAGCATGAAGACAAAAACAAGTAGGCTAAGGATGCCAACATGAAAGGGAGAGACTTAATTTTTACATTTTATTGATTACTCTTGAGGTTGAGTATTCTTCTAAGTATTGATACATGATTTAAAAAAATCTAGGTCTAGGCTGGGCATGGTGGCTCATGCCTGTAATCCCAGCAGTTTAGGAGGCCAAGGCAGGCAGATCACCTGAGATCAGGAGTTCAAGACCAGTCGGCCAACAGGGTGAAACCCTGTCTCTACTAAAAATACAAAAATTAGCCAGGCATGGTGGTGCACGCCTGTAATCCCAGCTACTAGAGAGGCTGAGGCATGAGAATCACTTGAACCCAAGAGGTGGAGGTTGCAGTGAGCCGAGATCATACCACTGCACTCCAGCCTGGTTGACAGAGACTCTGTCTCCAAAACAAAAACAAAAGCCCTATGTCTAAATAAGTATTAAAAATTATTTTGATAAGCATACAATAAAAATTCAGTCATGGGCTGGGCATAGTGTGGCTCATGCCTGTAATTCCAGCATTTTGGGAGGCCAAGGTGGGCATATCACTTGAGCCCAGGAGTTTGAGACTAGCCTGGGCAACATGGCAAAAACCCATCTCTACAAAACATACAAAAATTAGCTGGGCTTTGTGGCCATGCCTGTAGTCCCAGCTACTTGGGAGGACTGCTTGAGCCCAGGAGGCTGAGGCTGCAGTGAGTCATGATCTTGCCACTGAACTCCAGTCTGGGTGACAGAGCAAGACTCTGTCTCAAAAATAAATAAATAAATAAATAAATAAAATAAAATTCTACGATATGCGAAAGCATTGAAGCATAGTGTAATTAATGATACTTGTATTTCAGTGGTACCTAAGATAATGATGCATTTTGCAGTTGCTGGCAAGAACTTTACATTTTAAATTGCTCTCACAAGTTGACTTGTGATCTCAGTAGAATATGTTGCTGCCAGCTCATTTCAGATGGATCTCTTGCAACACTGGGTTAGGGAGGAAAATAACAATGACGACGAACACATTATAATGCTTTAGAGCCTGATTCATTTACACTGGTTGAGAATGCATTTGGGGCTGGGCACTGTGGGATCACACCTGTAACCTCAACACTATGAGAAGCCAAGGTGGGAGGATCACTTAAGCCCAGGGGTTTGAGACCAGCCAGGGCAACATGGTGAGACCCTAGCTCATAAAAAAAGAAAAAAAAAAAAAGCGTTTGGCTGCAAGGAACAGAGATTCAAACAATAGTAGTTTAAACAACTAGGGATTTATTTTCTTCTCCTAACAGGAAATCTGGCAGTGGCAGCCTAGCACTTGGGCAGTAGCCTCTGGGGAGTGTGTCTGGGTGGCTAAGAAGAGGTGAGACAGAAAACTGCTGGGACTTTTTAAAGCCTTTAAGTATGTGTGACTATTTTGCCCTCTGAACTCTTGTATTAGTCATTATTGCTCTGTAACAAATTACCTCAAACCTTAGACACTTATGATATAAAACATTTACTATCTCATAGTTTCCATGACTCAGGAATCCACGAGTAGCATAGGTAGGTGGTTCTGGCTCAAGGTCCCTCACAGGGCTGCTGTCAAGCTGTTGGCTGGGGCGGGGGGCCATCTAAAGGCTCTACTTGCGGGAGGGAAGCTTCATTCAAGCTCTCTCTCTCTCTGACTGTTGGCAAGAAGCCTCGGTTCTTTCTTGGCTGTTGGCCGGAGAACTCAGTTCCTCACCTCCTGGGCCTTTCTATAGGCCACTTGAATTTCCTCATGACATGGCCACTGGCTTCCCCCAGAGTAAGTGATAAGAAAGAGAGAGAGAGAGAGAGAGAGAGAGAGAGAGAGCAAAATGGAAGCTGCACTATCTTAGTAATCTCAGAAGTGATATCCATCACTTCAGCTGTATTTAATGGGTCACACTCACTGACTCTGCAGGGGACTATGGGGAGAGGACAACATAGGGGTGTAAATTCCAGGAGGCAGGGATTATTGAGGCAAGCTTGAGGCTGGCTATCACACCTCTATGTATGTATACATGTATGTGTGTGTATTTGAGAAACATGATTAATGTAAAACAGAAAAATAAATTTTAAAAAAGACATTAAAACAAAACACCACATGGTTGTTACTAATTCACTCTTCCATCAAAAATATATGTGCATATCTGTTTTAGCATGTATTTGCTATCATTTGGTATTACTATTTTAAGATTCTATTTTGATTTATTCTCTTTATTTAACCTAGTAGTAGGTGAAAAGTAATATTTTAATTTTTGTATCTTATTGATTATTCCTAAGGTTGAACATTTATGACGAGTTAACCAGTTTTATTGACCTTTTCGCAAGTTATGTCTTTACTTAATATATTAATGTATTAGGATATTAGCATTTTTTCAATGTTCATGAGTTCTATATATAATAAAAGTATTACTTTTTTTTTTTTTTTTTTTGAGGCAGGGTCTTGCTCTATCTCCCAGGCTGAAGTGTAGTGGCACAATCTTGGCTCACTGCACCTTTGACCTCCTGGGCCCCACTGATCCTCCTGCCTCAGTCTCCCAAGTAGTTGGAACTACAGCTGCATGCCACCATGCCTGGTTAATTTTTTTTTTTTTTTTAGAAACGGGGTCTCACTATGTTGCCCAGGCTAAAGGTATTACTCTTTGTCAAAGAAAAAAAAGGTGGCTGTCTACGTGGTGGGGAATATGGAGACCCTTCACTCCTTAGCTTCAGAGCTCCAAGGAGGGAGCAGGACCTCAAAAGGGACACCTCAGCATTTTACCTGGAGAGGGGAATGGATCCTGAGTACTAGGGATTCCAACTTCCATCCTCCAACCTCAGTAAGGATTCCTACAACTCATGTGGCGCTAGAAGCAGGTACTGGCGGGCTCCAAGGTCCCCATTCTTGGGCTGGCATGAGGCAGCTGTCAGCACCCCCAATGATGCTACAGGTTTTCTGTTCCAGGTTCTACATCTGGATTCTGGGGCATCCCTGGGAGCAAGAGGGATCCCCGGTGATAAGAGAGATTGAATTTTTTTTCTAGTCTGGCAATATCCAGGCCAATTAAATTATATTTTTAAGAAAACAAACGGACACTTTGTGTATATATAAGCTTGAATTCTTACAGGCATACATTCTATATTTTCTTACTTAAAACTTCATCAACTTTTTAAAAAAGTCATTGAGATAATTTATGACCTCTTCTCACTGATTTCCCTTGGCTTTGTATGTAACAGTGTACATTTGCACTGTAACTGAATGCTAACACAAAAGATGGCTTTATCATGTTGTCTTTATTTTCAAAAAGTAATATGAAGTCTGTTTTGGCCTGCTTCCTCAAGGAGTTAGGGAAAAATTTGATCTCAATTTTTCTTTTTTTTTTTTGCCTGCTCTTTCCCTGCCCCTTGATGGAGTCACACAGAACCCCCTGAGTTCACCCAATCTTGGAATCTGAGGGAAGAGTTCTAGACTTCAAGACAGTGTGGTCACTGTGAAGGGCTTGATGTCCACACTTCAGTGGTCCCACTGCTCATAGCCCTGGAGACAATGGCTTAGGGCTCGGTCCCCGGCAAGTGTTCACTCAGCTAACCCATCAGACACTATGGGGTCTGGGAGGGAGTCAAACACAGGCCCCCACGGTGGGCAGAACCTGTACCTCTCTATACCCCCCATGGGAAGGAAATTCCACTTGCTGTAGGAAGTTGGGAACCATTCTACTCACCCTCAACTTTTCAAATCAGCACTCCCTACTCACCCATATCATCTAGATCTTTGCCTTCAAGAGCCTAGATTTTCCAAAACAAAAGTTCTTCAATTCTCTGAGCGGGGAGAGATGGGCAGTCCTCTTAAACCTACAAAGAGAAAAGCCTGTCATGCTTTGGTGGTGAATCAGCGGACAAACAGGGAAACCAGTCCCAGCTTGGAAAGAGGTAATTCTGACAATAAATCACACTACTTCATACAAAGCCCTCAAGATCTGACTGGGACCCAACTTTCCAGGGGTATTGCTAAGCATTCCTTCTCATGCATCGAATACTCCTACTTTCTCAAATATTCTTTCTCTCCTTCTCCACCTGCTCATCTCTCAAGGTATTCAGATCCTCAAAAAGGTGTCAGGGCTCTAGGTTGGCATCTGTAATTCTTTTGGCCTTACTTTTGTGGTCATAAGCTGACTGCCCCAGTGACTCACACCAGTATCCTAGGCAGGAGTGTGCCAGTAAGCTCTCCTCCATGTTTGTCTCTTTCATAGGAAGTAAAACATTTTCCAGAAAGCCCCTAGCAGTCTTCTTTTTATGGCTCATTGGTCAGAACTGGGTCACATGGCACATGTAGCTGCAGGAGAGTCTGGGAAAGCAAGTTCCTGGCAAAGTTGAATGGGATTGCCATAACTCGTTTAGGCAAATTATGATTTATACTCACACTGTGAACACAGTCGCCCTGCCTCCTACACAAAAAAGAGCCCCCTTAACAAAGAATAGGGAAGGAAATAACTAATAAAGTCTACCGTAGAGCTGTTGTCCCATTAATTATTCCATCTTCTTTACTTTGGCAAGGGCTACTACTCTCTGTTTGCCCCTTCTTCCACTCTGAAACAGAGCGTTTAGTTATAAATTCGGTTGGCCAGAATAAGGTTTACATTTTCCAGCCTTCTGTGCAGCTGAGTGTGGTCATGTGACCAAGTTCTGAGAATGGGTTGAAAGGGGGAAAAATGGAGGAAACCACCAGGTATTGAAGAGAAAGGTCATGTTCTCCCTGTCCTTCATCCCAGTGTAATTGCCCGGTGGCAATTTCTTTTCTTTTCTTTTTTATGAGATGGAGTTTTTCCTGCCTGCTACACAGACAAAACCAATTCACTGAGACCATGGCGTTGCAGTAAAGAAAGAGTTTAATTGACAGGAGGCTGGCTATATCACACTGGATATGGAGTTATTACTCAAATCAATCTCCCCAAAGGCTCAGAGGGTAGGGTTGGTTTTTTTTTTTTTTTGGTTTTTTTTTTTTAAGACAGAGTTTCGCTCTTGTTGCCCAGGCTGGAGTGCAATGGTGTGATCTTGGCTCACCACAACCTCCGCCTCCTGGTTTCAAGCGATTCTTCTGCCTCAGCCTCCCAAGTAGCTGGGATTACAGGCATGCGCCACCACGCCTGGCTAGGGTTTTTCAAGGATAGTTTGGTGGGCAGAGGACTAGGGAATGGGTGGTGCTGACTGGTGGGGGATGCCATCATAGGGATGCGGAAAACCGTCCTTGTGTGCTGAGTCTGCCTCTGGGTGGGGGGTGCACAGGACCGGTTCAGTCAGGAGTCAGGAGCCCAGATGGAGTCAGCCAGTCCTCAGAAATGCAAGTCTGAAAAGGCATCTCAAAAGGCCAATTTTAGGTTCTACAGTAGTGATGTTATCTACAGGGGAACTGTGGAAGTTACAAATTTTGTGACCTCTGGAACAATGGCTGGTTATCATTTAACTCCACCTACTCAGGCCCTCTCATAATCCTAAACTTGTGGCCTTTTATTAGTTTTACAAAGGTGGTTTAGTTTTGGAAAGGGCTATTTTCATCCTTGCTTTAAGGTTAAACTGTAAACTAAATTCTTTCCAAAGTCTGGCTTATGCACAGGAATGAACAAGGAGAACTTGGAGGTTAGAAGTAAGAAGGAGTCAACTGTGTCAGATTTCTCTTACTGTCATAATTTTGCAAAGGTGGTTTCACCAGAGGCTGAAACCCCTTTGGGAGAAAAACTGTAAACTTCTTTCACATGAGGGAGAAAAACTGTAAACTTCTATCGTGTCTAAAGCACTATTATTTTCCAGCTACACTTATAGCCTAACAAATACAACTGCCTCCAATCTTTGGCCCATAAACATGCTGAAGTCTCGCCTACTTCAGCTTTTCCCTTGACCCCATGTTTCTCTCTAATTTACTTTCAGTCTTTCTCTGTGTAAGTCAGAGCAAGCAACAAGTGCCATCTCTTGGCTGATTTAAGCAGAAAAACCACAGCTCATAGACTTGTGGAGAAATCTGGAGAATCATATGTGTGTTGGCTGTATATTGTCAAAATAACATCACATAAACAACCATAAAACCACAGTGGCATGTAACAATGGACATGTATTTAGTACACAAGTTTGTGAGGTTCAGTTTATCTGGGGCTGGGCTGAGCTGAGCTGAGCTGATCTCAGCTGGACTTACTCAAGTGTCTGGGGTCAACTGTTGGCTGGCCAGGCAATTCTGTTGATTTTGGCTCAGCTGATTCCTATGTCTGAGGCTCAACTGGCTGTTGGCTGAACTAGGATGGCCTCAGCTGGGATAACTTAGGGAGACTTGGCCTAGTTCCACATGTTTTTCATCATCCAGCAGGCTAGCCTAGACATGTTCTCATGGCAATGGCAGAGAGAAACAGTGAGAGCAAGCCAGTCACACAAGTGCTTTGCAAGCCTTGGCTTGGGTAGTGTTTACTAACATCCCATTGACCATAGTAAGTCAAAAGGGTAAGCCCAGTGAGAATGAGGAAGTCCAACAAGATGAGATCCTCCAGTGAAGAATTAAGATCGTTAATGTAACAAATCTACCACACTATGTTCAGAGGTTTTTCCTTACAGGGTGGTAGATAGCCCCAACATCACACCACAGAGCTGGGTCACTGAAGACACTGCCACTGCTGCTAATGAGCATTTGACTCCATAGTTACACTGAGAGGCCCAGCACCAGATCCTGAATGTTGCTGCTGCCCCAGCTATTCTCCCAAACTGGGGGGTGCTGCCATGCTGGCATTGCCCATCAGTGGAATGGATTCTGTGCTACTTCTGCTTCTTTGCATGACAAACTCCTCCTGATTCAAAGTCTAGAGTGGGTGCATTTTATTAGCAGAGCCTACAACATGTGCCATGACTTAGAGCACAGGAAGGTTGGGAAAATAAGTAGCTGGCGTTTTCAGCTATAATAGTAGGAGGTGGGCTCTGCTTCCCACAGAGTTTCATAGAGTGGGAAATTCTCCATATGTGGGAAAGGGATTTATATCATGGGCAGCAAAAATACCAAAACAGAACAATAATGACAATAAGGAAGAGGAGGAGCATAAGGAGGAGGAGGAGGATATCGACTAGCCTCTCATTTTCTTTTCTTTACTTTTTTTTCTTTTTTTTTTTTATGAGACAGAGTTTTGCTCTTGTTGCCCCGGCTGGAGTGCAGTGGCATGATCTTGGCTCACCGCAACCTCCGCCTCCCGGGTTCAAGCGACTCTCCTGCCTCAGCCTCCCGAGTGGCTGTAATCACAGGCATGCACCACCAAGCCCGGCTAATTTTGTTATTTTTTTTAAGTAGAGAAGGGGTTTCTCCATGTTGGTCAGGCTGGTCTCGAACTCCTGACCTCAGGTGATCCACCCGCCTCGGCCTCCCAAAGTGCTGGGATTACAGGTGTGAGCCACTGCGCCCGGCCAACAGGCTCTCATTTTCTTGACAGCTAAGCTTCTTGAAAGCGTATTATTAGCTCACTTTTCTCTTCTACTTCTCCTCTAATTCTCTCCTGTAGTAATTAGCTCTTGCCACAATAATGATGCAAAATTCAGTGGCTTAAAACCACAAGCATCTCTTTTTCTTATTCAAGCTTCAGGCTGAAGGTTGCCTGGAGTGGGTTCCAGGCTTCAGTCTGGATTTTTGACTGCTCCCACATGTCTGTTATCTTCCTTGGGCCAGTAGCTCCCCAGGGCATGCTTGTCTCATACTGCAGGCATGGGAGTGGAAACACGTAATACTTCTTGAGGCAAACTGTTACTTTTGCTCACATTCCTTCGGCCAGAAGTCTTGCAGGGAAATATACTCCATCTACTCTTATGCACTGCAAGAGGGAGTGAAACTGAGAACAATAATCTAGTCTACTTCTACTTTTCATCTGGCTTCTGACACTGCTGTGCCATTAGGGTCAACCCACAAGTGCCAAATGAATAGACATTTCTCAGGCTGGGCGTGGTGGTTCACGTCTGTAACCCTGGCACTTTGGGAGGCTGAGGTGGGAGGATCACTTGAGATCAGGAGTTTGAGACTAGCCTGGGCAACATAGTGAGACCCTATCTCCACAAAATAATTTTAAAAATTAGCCAATGTGGTGGCACATGCTGTGATCCCAGCTATTCAGGAGGTTCAGGTGGAAGGATCGCTTGATCATGGGAGGTCGAGGCTGCAGTGAGCCATGATTGTGCCACTGCGCTCTAGCCTGGGCAACAGAGCAAGACTCTGTCTCAAAAAAAAAAAATTATCAGAAGATGGGGAGACAGCCAGGTGCCGGGTCATGCAGTACCTATCAGGCATGGTTAGGAGTTTGGATTTCATTCTAAGTGTAGCAGAAGCCATTTAATAGTTAACTATGTGACTAGAGTGGTCCTTCTACAATGCAGATCTGTTCATGTCATGTCCCTGCTTAAACTGGCAACGAATGTCCCACTGCCTAGAGGAAAAGGTAACATAAGACTTACATGGCCTTAGAAGTCTACTATGATAGACCCCTGCTGCAGTGTCTTTTGTCCCTGCACACCATTCCTTGTACTCTTTGGTCTTACCATGTAGAGTTACTTATGGTTAATTTTAGTTTGGATTCTCCAAGAAGCTGACCCTGAGACAAGGATTTGAGTGCAAGTAGTTTATTTGAAGGTGACAGAAACATGAGTGGGGAAAGAGGTAGAAGTGATATAGGGGAAGGAAGGCAGTCAATAAAGGGCGAAGTTTGTTTGGTTTTTTTTTCTTTTTGAGATGGAGTCTCGCTCTGTCGCCAGGCTGGAGTGCAGTGGCGCGATCTCGGCTCACTGCAACCTCCGCCTCTCGGGTTCAAGCAATTCTACTGCCTCAGCCTCCCAAGCAGCTGGGA